ATCTTTAGAGGGAAATAATTAATTATTTCTATATCTCTTGAAGCTTAATCCTATATAAGTCTTTAAATAAAGCATATGGCCTGTAAGCTTAATGCATTAATCTGATAGCAAAATAAATGCAGCAACAAAAAGGCAGTTGTAAGACTTGAATGTAATCTACGTACAAGAAAAAGCAATTGTAGCACTGATAACAACCTTTCTAATCAAGGAAACGTGAGGATTGATTCTCACATAATAAACTTGACCCTTTTTACCGAAGTCTGTAAGCAAATTTTCCTAAGGGTAAGAGTAGTAGATCGAGACCTGTCAATTGTTTTCATTGTAAGCAAATTCCGCTTGATGTTCCTACAAAAGAAAATCATATCTCAGTTCTACTATGTTTATAGATATAGTTTCCAGGGTCAAGTCTTCCCGGAGACATCGAGTCTCGAAAGCAACAATGGGCATGTGATGGCTCGTGTAAAGTAAAATTCAAGGCATTGAATTGTATGAGCAGTCAAGATGGAATTTGGAACTTGGTTATGTTCTGTTTTGGATCATTTTAATCAGCTAGGATACATCAAATTGTCGTCTATATCTAATTTCTATGATTTGCCAAAGTCCTTGACATATGAGAAATCAACCGTCCTTTGTCTACTCTGTTTATTAATTAGTAGTAGCAAGGAGTGCCAGTATTTGTTTAGAACTTTTCTCGATTTAGCTGTTCATCATCCCTAGTTTTCAGAATTTAGTGATTAAGACCTGTCATAATATTAACAGTTTCAGCCCTAAACAATTATTTCCAGATCAATCTTTCAGCCTGTTTTAGCTGATACTGCAATGCTAATTTATAAAAAGATATTAGTCAACTAGGGACCTGCAGAAACAAAAATTAATCCATATCAAATGCAAGGAGATAGTGAGGTGTTCCAAGCTCAATGTCCCATATACAAATGTTCGTGTCAATATATAGACATCATGCCACTAAAATGTGCAGTTCAAGTAGGCATACCTGACATAATCCACAAGCATAACCAATCAATTATCCTACCGGAGTTAGTTTCAAAACTACATATTCCCGCCACAAAAACAAGCTGCCAGCAGCGCTTGATGCAAGTTTTGGTGCATTCCGGTTTTTCCAAGCCAACCCAAAGCAATTATTGGTAATCGCTTAATAGGAAAAAGTTCATTCAAAATTCAAGATCGAGCCCAAAACTACAAGGGTTTGATCCTGATTCAAGAGTCAAGACTTGTTGCTGAGGATTGAATCCAATCCACAAGGCACAAAGCCACAGGTTTTGCCAGAAACGATTGCTGGAATCCAAGTGTAACATCTGTTAATTGACATGATAGGATTGCAGGCCATAGGTTCATAAGCAAGAGGACCCCTCAACAAGCAACTTAATCTAATCCCATCGTATTTAAGGATTAATGGACTGCATTAAAGTTTAGAAATCCAAGTTAATTAATTAGATCCAGTTGCCATTTCAAGAAACGCTTGACTTCTTTTCATCAAACTGGCCAGGAAAAGTCCTCATTTTCATTTGTCTTGCTTCAATAGCCAAAATTCTTGTTGAAAATCACTATTTTATAGCCTCATGTTGTTGATTTAATCGCAACACGTTACCTAAAGTGATAATTTCAGTCCCATATGAAGAGATTGAAAGTCTTAAAAAAGAAAAGTATTTTCCAAATAATTTATACCTGTCATGTTGGAAGCATTCTAGAGGATACCGCCAAATGCTAACCATAACAATTAATACATTGAAGTAGACACCTAACCTTCCTTTGTGGATTTTTTCTCCTCAGTAAATTAAATGGAAAGTCTCAAATGTCAACTTGGGTTCATTCCACAAATTTCAATATAATGAAGAATATAGTATTTATGTATTTATTAATAGAGGTAAGACTTAGGTGCAATTTCCTAAGTGAGGTTCACAAAATTGATCCAATTGAAAGAATCAAATTTAAACCCCATTTGATTAATACAATTTAATGATATGTAAATAATTTGAAAATGGTGTCAATTCAAAAAAGTTAATCAGATTTAAATATATCTATTCTTGATTATATCCAATTTCCCTTTATTTGCATTATGAAAATCCTCTTGCTCTAATCCTACCTAAAGAGTACAGTTCAGTCACATAAACCAAAAAAATTTTAATTTTCCAACGGTTGTACGATGTGAATGATTAGGAATAAAAGATTGCAAGTAGTCTTTGCATCCCCATGTATGAAATGGAAGTCAAGGATTTCATGTAAACAATTCCAGGACACCCCAGCAAGACACGATTCCCAGGACGCCATTGAATCCCCACCCTTGGAGAAGAAGTTTACAAGCTAAATCAAGATATAATCCCTCAACTTTCCACTTTAATTACTTAATTCCTTTGCAAAGGAGAAAAAATAAGCAATGTCTTTCCGAAAGGAGTATCTTGATTTGGTTTTGGTCCCTGGTGGGTTGCTGATCATGTTTGCTTACCATCTAATCCTCTTCTACAGATACCTGCATCGCCCTCACACCACCGTTATTGGCTTTGAAAACAATGACAAAGAAGCTTGGGTTGAAAGAATTATGGAGGCAAGGCTCTTTCTAGTCTCTCCTCTCCTTTTATTATTATTATTATTATTTTCTGTTGTTGTTGTAATCAAATTGATCAAACCAGGTTTTACATTTCTAGCATGTTTGGGTTGGTGTTTGCAGGCTGACAGGAAAGATGTCAGTAATGCGTTGACTGTGATCGGGTCCAACACATCGGCTGCAACTTTCTTGTGCTCGGTCTGTTTGACTCTCAGCTCCCTGATCGGAGCCTGGCTTGGAAGTTCTTCTGAAAATATCTTTCGAAGTAATTTAATATATGGGGACACGAGGCCATCCACCATTTCCATCAAGTATATTTGCCTTCTGACCTGTTTTCTCCTTGCCTTTTCATGCTTCGTTCAATCAGCTAGGAACTTTGTCCATGCAAACTATCTAATAACCATACCAAACTGTGAGGTACCAGTCGAATCTGTGAAAATAGCTGTTCTCAGGGGAGGTGATTTTTGGTCACTCGGGCTTAGGGCACTGTATTTCGCTCTTGATTTTCTCCTCTGGTTTTTTGGTCCGATTCCAATGTTTGTTTCTTCTATTGTCATGGTATTCATGCTCCATTACCTTGATACCAACACGAAACCATTGCACCCCCATCGAAATCCA